AGGAGGCTCCTCCTGGCAATTTCGGGCTTTTTTCAAGAATTATGTTTTGTAACCTTGCCGATTAAATAACTATGTATTTTAGTGAGTTTTTTACAGTCAATGTATTGAATTGTAATAGTATATAGATAAAACCAATCTACAATTATTGTTGGTTTTGTTCTGGATTGAGTTCATGATGTTAAGTGTTGTTTCACATCACCTACTGCCAAACCGTGAGGGTTTCTTTGGTTTTTCTCGTTTACATTAGAAAATCATATTTGCTGATAACATCTATGTTATATTCAAAAAGAAAAAATTGTTTTGTAAATTCCTTTTGTATATATGTGCTATGTATTGGATTGTGTAAAAAAATAAAATATTTCTTAAAGCAATGTTCATTTCATCACCGTGTCACACACATGTTATTGTGGTTTACTACATTATTACATTATCGTTTGTCTTTGTGCGGAGCATGTTGTTGTCTAGAACAATATTAAAACTCATGAAATTTATTTATTGTCTTTTGTACCTAGCATTCTACACGTTCGATTCCGCGATTGCTTTTAAACATTTAACATTTACTTCTTAGTCATTTTAAGTCCATCGACCAATAGGACAGTAGACGACACTGCGGCGCCGAACACCTGGGAACGCACGTTCCTGATGGAGTCGCAGCAGTCGCTGCCGCCACCTGCAGCTGTCATCGATTTCACGTTGGGTGACGACAGTGATGATTCGGACTTCTACGCAGTGTGGGATCCGACGTCTCCATCCACTGATCCGACCGACACGATGGAAGTTCTTGAAGTCGTAGACTTAACAGACTTAACGTCGGAGGACACAGAGCCGGAGGTCTTGCCATTTTACGGCCCGCTTCTCCCACCCCAGGGTGACGGAGACGCTGCCGGCGGGCCGTCGCGGCCAGACGTCGGTGACGTCGATGCCGAAACAGAGTCCAGTTTTGCATATGCCACATCGGACTCGCAAGGAGCTCCTTCCCCTCCCTCGTGCTCAACATGTTTGACGGAGCCGGACAGTCCGCACACCGTGCACCCACGTCGTCCCCGTCCGGAGCGCAGATGTAAAGCCTGCATTCGCATAGGGCAGTGTTCAGTGTGTGGCTCTGAGTTCCGGAACTACAGACACTGACTCACCCACCGTTTCACTGTTTGCACAACTTACCTGTTGCGTCTGCTGCACTGAAGTGAAACAGTTTTTGCTGCTTGACAACTTCTTACTTATTCAATGTCCCCGGGTTCGCCCGCTGATTCATTGGTTCCCTGTTTTGCAGCTTTGCAGCAGTGTAGCAGTTTCTATTGCATTGGTTCATGCATTCATGCACTCATGCACTCAGGCTGCCGTGCCACCATGACGGACGCCGCAATTGGACGCGGCAGCCGCGGCAGCGCAGACAGGGTCCCCTCAGACAGGGTTAGGTTGATCCGTCTTGAGTACTGCGTCTGCATCGTCTGCGGCATGTCATGCGTCGTAGAGTCATATAGGTTTAGTTTAGTTACTTTAGTTTAGTTCTGCTTCTGCTTCTACATTCAATCTGTTCTACATATGTAACGTATGCATGTGTGCGTGTACGTATGTAAGTATGTATATATGACCGTATGTTTGTATGTATGTATGTATGTATGCATGCATGCATGCATGCATGCATGCATGCATGCATGCATGTATGTATGTATGTATGTAACGCATTGCATTGCATCGCATTGCATTTGTCGTATTGTATTGTACCGTACTGTATGTTGCATGTATGTAAGTACGCATCCACGAATGGATGCGTGTAGGTATGTATGCAGTGTATGTACGCAATGTACGCATGTATGTATGTGAAAGTATAGAAACATACAGTACATACATACGTATCGTCTAATGTATACGGTCTATACGGTATCGGCAGCTAACATATGTTTGTCTGTGTGTCTGTGTATGCATGTAACGTCGTAACATTTGTCGTATGTTTGTACACACGTACGCACATGTGTACGTAAGTTTGTATGTTTGTATCAATGTATGTATGTATGTATGTATGTATGTATGTGTGTGTATGTATGTATAATATATGCATGCATGCATGGATGTAGGTCCTACATCCATGCATGCATGCATACATTATACATACATGATGTAGGTATCTGTGTATGCCTTTATTGTTTGTTATAAGTTATAAACGTTATAAGCGTGTTGTATATTGTCTATAATTGTCTATCTGTTATCTGTGTGTGTGTATGTATGTGTGCATGCATGTATGTGCGCATGTAACCGTGTACATTTGCAACATGTATGTATGTATGTGTGTATGTAGGTATGTGTCTGTGCGTACGTAACAGTAGCAGTGTATGTATCTATGTATTATGTATGTATGAACGTATGCAGCAATGTAGCAATGTAAATTTATGCAAAGCACGCATGCATGCGTGTGTTTGTATATTTATATTGTACGTATGTAAGCATGTATGTATGTATTGATGTAATTGATGTATGTACGTATGTAGCTTACTGACTGTAATGTAATGCAGTGAAATGCCGCTGCCACGTCATGTAGTGTGATGAGTCAGTCATGAGTGATGTGAATGTAGTGCAATGTAACGTCTGTAATGTAATGTAATGAAATGCAATGTATTGTACTGTCATGTAATGATGCAATGTAGTCCATGTCCATGTGACGCTGCAATGTAAGGTAATGTAATGTAAGGTAATTTAAAATAATGAATAATGAAGTAATGTTGTGTGTAGTGTAATGTAGATGTAATGAAATGAAATGTAAGGTAAGGTACCTTAAGGGTAACGGTAAGGTAAGGTAATGTAATGTAATGTATGTATGTCTGTATCTGTATGTATATATGTATGTGTGTATGTGTAAGCAGTATATATTATTTATTTGCAGCAGTGTGCATGCCTGCATACGTGTCCTTGCCGTTGCCAGCGTCATTATCAGTCACTAGCCAGCAAGTCCACACACTACTACACTACCCATGAGGCCCATGAGGCCATGAGGCTCCATGAGACGTGAAATCCATGAAGTGTGCAGTGCGCAGTGTGCAGTGGATTCATGGACAGCGATCCATGTTCAGTCATTTATATTACACCAATGCATTGCCTCGCAGATACGCTTTTGATAAGCGGATAGGCCGATAGGCTGCGAATCTGCCGCTGATGATGAAGATGATGTGTGCTGGCTGAATATTATTTATTTATTAATACATTGCAACTGATTTGTCACCTGATGTCGTGCCAACAATTGCCGCAGTACACCACCTGACCGCATGACGCCGCATGTCTGTCACATGTCACATGACTCTGACATGGCTGACATGACTGCATCTCATGACTGATGACTTCATTGCTGCCACGAAGGCTGCCACGACTCTGCCACGGTCTGCCGCATCATTGTAATTGTAAGTGTAACTCATTGACTCAGTGTATGCAGCACTGTATGCATGCTGCATGCGTGGCCGGATGCTGCCAGACATCCTGCAACATGTCGGGTACTTGCATTGTCACTTGCACTCGCATCCCTGTCACTTTCTGCCCTGCCTGTCTGTCTAGTCGTGACTAGTCGTGCAGTGCCACAACATAAACTCATGAAAAAAAATGATTCGGCTACTGCGTGACCATGACTGGACTCGACAGCCTCGACAGCTTGCACTACCACCACGATCATCATGGTCCTGCTTTGACGCTGTCAGAACCAGCTTGTCGCAGTTTGAGTTTCGGTTTGCAGTGACTCGTAGTCGTAGGACTCGTAGAATCGTAGAATCACCGCAGAACTCACCACGGCCATGAGTGCTGGGGCTCGCAGAGGTGGTCGCGGTGAGGAATCCCGAGGTAGGAGTCGTGGGCGTGGAGGAGGCCGCAGTAACGGTCGTGGTGGGAGCGGCGGCGGCGCTTCACCGAAGCCGACGACCAAGGATGCGAAGTCGCGTGGATTGCTCATTGCCGCACCTCATATCGAGAGGTTCTTTGCGAAAATCATGGAGCGAAAAACCCACGAGGTGAGAAACTTCTACTGTAGAGTTGTTGGCAAGAATGAGCAAATCTACTTGGTACAGAGCGGCTTGAAAGACGCGAACGGGAAGGGTGTGTTCTGTGTGCGCGGCAAGGCCGAATTCCGCGGCAACACCTTTGTGCCGCACGAGGAGTTCAGCAAGCACTACGCAAAACACAGGTGCAGCGCGGCCGAGTACTCGTCAGTGCGTTCCTCCTGGGTTGACAAAGGCGGATGCGTCCTTTGGGAGTTCAAGCTTCTGGATGTTTTCGACCAGCCTCTTTACTTCAGGCCCAAGCAGGGGGAGGAGCACTGCACGCATCTAAGTTTAGCAGGCAGTTTCAGAAGTTTCACAAGTTCAAGATCCTTGTTGAACTTATTGATTGATCGATCTAGTGACTCTATTGAATTATGGATTTATGGACCCGTAAAGTTTGACCCTAAATCTAAATCTGTTATCGACCGTCTGACTGTCTGGGGGTTCAGTTTGACTAGTACACTGGTACAATTGCAAGTATGCTGTACTGGCAGTAGATTACAGTATACAGTCTATTTTATTTATAATCTATTGGCAATAGATTAAAGAAAAAGACTGTATACTGTATATTCTTTTCCGTACTTATGTATGCAATGCTTCTGATGCTGGTGATGGAGGCGATTCTGAGTCTGACAAGTCCAGAAGGCCCAGAAGGTAATTAGGTAAGGCAGTGCAGTGATGCAGTGATGCTGTCAGTTTCCAGGAGATTTGGACTCTTTTCGACATGAGCAAGGCTTCAACGGACCCTGGACTATCATGCCCAGTGCCAGTGCGGCAGTTGGAAATGGAGACGGCTCCCGCCGCATCTGCCAGCTCGCTTGTACTTGTTGAGACCCGTCCGAATCCAACCGATATCCGGAAGGCATTTGATGAGCATTGCCCAAGAAAGGCAACGCGTGCTAACGTACAACGCGAGTCCCACTACCCGTGCGACCCAAGCCATGATTTGCTTTATGGCGATGATGATGGTGATTCACTGGCTTCTGCATTGTCGGATATCATTGCTGAAGAATACGGGAGTGGCCCTTTCAAAGTCGAGCGCGCAACCCAGCCGAGTGCCGCCCTGTCAGCAGACGCTGCTGCTGCCTTGGAATCACATCGAGTGAAGACAAGCCTTGGTCGTGACCGTCCTGAGGACCACTGGGTCGGACTCCGCACTTGTCACGTGTCACATAGTCACTTAAGTCGAAGCCTAGAGTTCTGGCGTCGGTCCAGCCAAGCGGTTCAGAGTTCATTGAAATTGTCATATTGTCGTTTCCGAACTCATTCAAGTTCATTCAAGTCATCACGATCCAGCTCCTTACATTGTAGCAGTCGAGGCTGTCGACTCCGATTTCGGAATTATTTCGTGATGTGGCAGATGCGACAGCATATTCTGACCATTGTCTTCATGAGTTCATGACTTCATGACCGAAGTTCATGGCTCATGCATCATGTGTCATGCGTACACACACATGAATCACATGAGCCTCATGTCGCAACTTACTGGTGTGATGCTGAGACATGAGTCATTGAGTCATTGAGTCATGTTATCCATCCAGCCAAGCGGGCCAATTGTCATGATCTGCATGAAATGTACGGGCATGCAGTCATCACTGGCCCATGGGTCCATTGGCAAGCGGCAATCAGTCAGTCATGAGTCATGTTTCATGAGTCGTGACGTTCACTACTGTTACTTACTCACGATTTCAGTTGAAGTTGAAGTAGCGTCGTGATCAGTGATCCGGCTATCGAATCGAATCTGAATCTTCCGACTCGACTCTATCAGGCAAAGCGACGCAGCTGCAAAGATGCCAACGACTCGAACAGTTCGGACAAAGTCATGCTGTGGGACAGTGTGGAACGGAACGTGTCATGAGGCTCTGAGGTGTCATGCGGTGTCGGTGTCATAGAGTCACACAGCGGCATTGCTGCAGCATAGCGGCATCGGCGCTTGCGGCTTGGTTTGCGGAATCGTGATCAGTGATTGGGCGGGCAGGTCAATTGCAGCGTGTGCCCAGCATGCGCACGTGGCAGTGTCATGTGCGTGACTCATACTTCATGGCCATGATCATGTAGTTATAGTGTCATAGTGTAATAGAGCACACAGACACACGTACGTTTGCAATTCGTGTGTGAAGACTGTGAAGACTCAGACAAACAAACTAGTCCTGTACACGGTACACGTCCGCTGCGTCCGCCCACAACACACAGCACCTCAGCCTCAGAACCTCGTATCCATAATCCATCGCTCACACCCACCCGTAATCCTCCACCGCCTCACCAACGTGTAGTGTGGGCCCACGACCCACAGCTGAGAGTCGACACTGTATCCAGGCGGCATGCATCATGCGTACACGGGGGCTAGTAACTGTATGGCTAGCGGCTGTAAAGTTGTAAAGCACTAAGACTAAGAATACTAATACTAATAATACAAGTATCATTAAATATCATGAGTCAAAAGTCACATACGTCACGTAAGTCTTACCATGTAAGTTAACTATGCACCGTCGATGTCACAAGAACTTTGCATTGTATGCTTACTTTTTCACCCACTTAGTTCTTTTGACTACAGAATGTCAGAAGTTATGTATGCATGCGGAAATTACACAAATAACGAATGCTTGAACAATCACATATGATATACGAGTATGCATAATCCAGGTGTAAGGTAACGGTACGTCAGTCTGATGCAATATAATGATATAATGTAAATATAACATTATAACACAATAGTACACACAATATTCTGAAATTATCACGGAATCACTAGAATCACTAGACTATGACTATTACTAGTCATCGAATCCTCGGGTCCTCGAGTGTCATGTAAAGGACAGAGCTCCAGCAGCTGAACCAGCGACAATTCCGACGACGACAACGTCGCTCATGTCAGAAGCTGTGAACTCTGTGAACATGCAAGCCAGTGATGTGGATGTGTCAGCGGGTGCTGGTGACCGTGTTCGTGGCGACGATCATGATGATGCACTTGATGCGACGATGCTCCTTAGCACACAAGCGGAACGTGCGACCCTCCCAACATTGCCGCAAGATGATGCGTCTCAGTCTTCGGAGACAATGAATCTGAGAGCGTCGGTGCCAGCAGGACCTCCACAAGAAGTTCAAAGGGATGCTGAAATGCCAGCACCGCAATGTCATGAGCCATCAGACGTTGGTGTTGATGAAACGCTCCTGCAGAAGGACGTTGAGATGCCAGAAGCATCAACACAAAACACATTCAATGTGGCTCAGACGCTGAGCATGCATTCCGGCCCGCGGGGGGAGATTCCAATGCCAGCAGGACCCCCGACGAGAGAAGTGGAAAACGCAGAGCCAACATTGCCGCACAGGTTCGAAGTTGACGAGACACTCAGACTGCAATCCGAACCAGGCGAGCAGATTCCAGCAGTGCCAGCAGTACCGCCACAAGAAACGCAAAATGATGTTGATATGCTAGCAGCAGCGGCAACGATGTGGCGGGAGGAACCAGCAGATGTTGGCCACATTCCAAGGTCAGTAGGGCCCCACTCAGAAGTACACAAGGATGTTGAGTTCACGCGGCCCAACCCGCACGGATCCACACCTGACCCAGTCAGAACTGCACCAGCACCATCGGCGGCCACTGTGGCCACGTCATTGATGCCAGAGGCTGTCCCGCAGAGGGTTACAAACTGCCCGACACCGGCCAGGATGAGGATGCAACCTTCACCCTCAACCTCAGCCACGGTTGTGACGAATCTGAAGGAGTACTTCGATTTCTTTCCGAATGCAGTTGATGCGGTAGTGGCAGATGGGACAATCAGTCCCGAGCTGTTGGGGGAGCAGCTTGACAGGTTGTCCATCAGCACGGCATACTCCGGGATCGGTGGGCCCGAGGCTGCATTGTTCACATTGAGGCATTGCTTTGCTCGGCAGGGACACGGTGTTCGCCTGCAATCAAAGGGCCCGCATATCATTTTTCAAATGGAGATCGACGCAACGTGCCGGGGCGAACTGCTGAAGTACGAGTCTCTGGGCGGTCACAGCGGTCAGGAGTGTTGCCTCTTTGGCGACCTCGAGCAGTTCTTCCGTCATGAGTTGGAAGACGTGGTCGAGCAGCTTCGTGAAAGGCCGGAGCTTGCGCTGGAGGTTCTCTCGAAAGCTGTGGCGGACTGTGATGCGGCGGGATGCACCTCCTACTGCTACAGACACCGTCGGCAGTGTTCCTTGCAGCCTGTTTGCGTTTATGCATTTACGGGTCACATGCGTCGCATGATTCCCGTGATGATTCACGATCAATGCATCGCTGCATCACAGTCACAATGTAGTAATGTAGCATTGTAGACGCTTGCATTGCATGATGATCAGGATGATTGCATGACTGCATGGCTTGCATGGCTACAGATACAGACTACCATGCCATCACGACCATGACCATTGACCATCACGATCAGGGGATGACTCATGGACTCATGGGACTCATGTGTCCGAGTCATGGGTTCCGTGATTAATGCTTTATTATTTATTGCTTTGCCAATTTGAGCATACACATGAACGTCATTGCGGCGTCATTGCGGCTGTGTCGCAGCAGTCACATTCGCAGCAGTAGCACGCTGCATGCATCGCATCATCGCATCACATGACTCCCATGACATGTGCCGCATGAGTCCGCATGAGTCTGAGTCTGAGGATTACCAGGGTTATCTAAATTGCTGCACACTGAATGGCCTGCATTGACTGCATTGCATTGACCAGTGAACCATGCAAGCAGGCATCATGATTGTAGGCCGGCCCTTGTAACACTTGTAGGCAGCTTGGTCGATTGATTAGTGGACCGTGGACTGTCGCGATTGTTTTGCATGCAACGTCTGTCGTCTGCAGTGATAGTCGACAAGCCGAATAACTGATTGCGGCATCGTCCAGTCATCCAGCGTCAGCTGTAGGTCCAACAATCCGACTCACTGAAAGACTGAGGCGGATGGCCCATGTTCACATAGCTGGCACCAGTTGTGTTTCCTGGTCTGCACAAGGCAAGCAAATGGGTGTCCGTGACGCAACCGTGTTGCCCTTCCTGGTGTGGATCTGCCACAGACTGCTCTTGCAGGAACCGGTAATCATTCATGAAAACAGCCCGAGGTTTCCAAGGACGCTCCTAGAAAGGTTTCTCGGTCATCTTTACGTGATCGACGAGTGCATCATTGAAAGCTCCGATTACGGCTCACCAGCACGCAGGGAACGCAAACTGACGCGGATGTACCACCGAGTGAAGGTGAACCTGCCAGATGTGCCTTTCGCATCCTTCAACAAGACATTCCACCGATCATGCACGATGACTTGGCGTGAGTTCTACTGGCAGCACCTTGTGACGGACGATGAGAAGTGCAAGGCACTTCGGTAGCGGTAGCAATCAATCGTCAATCATATTTGAATCATATTCCAGTGTCCGTAGTCACGCCGTAGTCACCGTAGTCAGTCTCAGTCAGTCCAGGCTGAAATGGTGGAGGACCTTTTGTGGGCAAGCAGCCGGCCCACGGTCCGTGCCGCAGCAGCGTCAGAAGGATGTGAGCACGAACGGGCTTTGAACCCCTCCGAGACGAAGTCGCTCAAGGCGTACCGCGCCAAGTCACCCACCATGGCGTACTCATTGTCACAGAATGGTGCCACTAGCTTCGGTATGACGAGCACTGAGCACCATCTGCAGACGATGATACGTCATAGCGGGCTGACTTGGTGCGACGGACCCTTGGCGACGGGGACAGGACCGTTTTGGGATTGGGTTGGACTGGGCCTGGGTTGGTCTTGGCTGGGCTGGGTATTGAGCGTTGCATCGTTGCATCAGATCATCAGCCCGTATGGTGATAGAGAGCAAATCGTGGCAAATCGTGTCGTGTGCGTAGTGAGAAGTTGTGCTGTGTGTACGATCCACGATCGAACGGGCTGCTCGGGCTGTTCTGCTTTGCCATGCCAGTTGTCAGTTGAAGCTGCTACCAGTGCTAGTATTGTCAGGCAAATGCTGCGATGTTTCCGTCTGTTTCTGACTGTTTCTGTGATGTTGAATTGAATATGTGTTATGAGCCGGGCCTTGATTCTGCCGGGTGCCCTAAGCTAACCTACCATTGACCTACCATCTTCATCTTCACGTTAGCACTCTTAGGAATTATGTTTTATTTGTCCTTGTACAAGACTTATTATATAAATGTAACAATACAACTCCATGGTCCATGGACTATAGGATTCTCGGATTCCCGTATGTTAAGGGCCCTTAAGGGCCCAGGTAAGGGCGGTTAAGATGCGAATCAACTCGGGTCAAGACAAGACTGTCTAGACTTGAGCCTGAAGAGGATACATGTCCGCATCCTCACCGCTTCCTGCGTCGCCTGCGTGCACTCCGAGGTGGCTGACAGGAACGGAAGTCCTCGTGACACAGGCATGGCCCGTGCATCCCATCTTGAATGCGGGCATGCTCGTCACACCGTTCCACGCGGACGTGGACAGCTCGGGTCGCACGTCGCGCGGCCTCCGAGCACAAGCGGGCAATTCCATGAACCTGTTCATGCTTGCAGTGCAGCTTCTGCACACACTCTGTCACGTCCAGGTCCCGGTTGTAAGCTGTAGGGCTGCAGGGCTGTAGGCTGTAGGCTTAGTCATAGTCGGATTAGTGGGATGTCACGGGTCAACTAGGATAAAACTCTTTGTTGAGTGCGTTGAGCCCTGACTGAAATATATGCGCCACGATCCTAGGTCCTAGGTCAGTTCATCATATGTCATATGATAGTCATATGTGTGACTTTTTTCTTGTGACTTTCTTTCGGCTTGCACCGTGCAACGCACCTGCTAATGAGTCTTGAGTCTTGAGTCTTGGTCGTAGGTCCATATGCCCACTCCGATGATTGGCTTTCTGCATTCGGTGCGAGTGCAGCAGCGGGGTAATCAGAACAATCGCCACGGCAGAGGTGATGACCATGATGACTCCAATGACCTCCGTGATCGCCACAGGGTGCAGCCAGGTCAAGATCAAGTCCGTCCGGCTCCGGTTACAAAGCGGCTTCGGCGAAAAGGCCCTGCGCCCTAGGGCCGTGGCCGTGGCCCGGGGCCCACGCTCGGCTAGGCCCTTGGAGATTGAACGACTGAGTCTGACTCAGTCATGACAGTGATGTTTTTGTGGGTCTGTCTGACCCCAAAAAGCGGAGTCCAAACCGAATTGAATTCGAAATGCCAACTGCCAACGTGCTGGAGTGCTGAAGTTTCCATGTTCATGTTACGTGTTGTAATGCCGTTGCATGGTACTGTCGTCCAGTCCATGAGTGGTCCATGAGTCCATGAGTCATCAGTCATCAGTACTTAGTAGAAGTCTTGGAAGTCTAGGTGTAGAGGTACAGAGAGGCTGCCTGCAGCAGACAGCACTGGCAGAACAATGCTGGCACTGACTCTGACTACGTCAGAGCCGTCAGAGCGTGTTGCAATGGTGTTGCGTTGCAATGCGTAGCTCAGCTCACCATGCATGTAGATCAGCAGGACATCAAGGACATGAAGTCGTTGCAGAATGCCAGAATGCCGAATGCCGCCATCTGTCAGTCACCCGATGATCACAACCGGTCACACGTCACAGCCGTCACAACCTCACACCCGGCTCACCGCCGTCCAACACCCCGCAGAGCCCAGACCCCCATAGCCCATAGACATAGAATCCATTCGATTGCCATCGAACCTGGAAGACGAAGACGTCTGCGGCGCTGTATGCGGCTGATACTAGCGTGCCATAGTGCTTTGGCACACGTCGTTGCGGCGGCGGGTACGTATGAATGCTTGACTCGCTTGACCGCTTCACGAACATTGACGAATCAGACGAATCAGTAACAATCAGTGTAACATCTAACATCACCTCCATGCAGCTGTTACAGTTGTACTGTTACAGTGTTACCGTGTGCTACGTCTGCAACTGGGGTAGCGACTCGCGACCGCATCGGTTAGGTTCCTTGACTTGACTCCTTGAAAAGGAAGTCCATAGTCCAGTCTTTTGGGCTATCCTGGCCAAAGCCGTGGTGCGGCTAAGTGACTTAACGACTTAACGACTTCTTTGACTCCTGCGGCATTGTCGTAGTCGTCACGTCTAGTCGTTTGTCTGTCTAGTCAAGTAGAGTCTAGGTAAGGTAGACTAATAAGAGCTCGTGTGCAGAGTGTACTAATGTACTACTACCAGTGTACTCAGTGTACTCAGTGTACTGTGGTAAGTTGGGAAGTTGGGAGGTTGTTGAAGTTGTAGTTCGGTTTAGCAATACAGGATACACTTTAATTATAAGTCAGTCTTATAATAAGTAGGTGACAGCCGCGCCATGCGTCTCGCAGGGCCAGCAAATTCACTCGTACTCACGTACTCGTACAGTTAGCTCGTACAATATGGGCTGGTCCGGGCCGGGCTGGTCGACTGTCCTTTGGCATCATCATCAGCGACGTTCATCGTGCGCAGTCTTCTTTCCTGTAGCAGTGACGTTGTTGAATTGTTGAATCGTTGAAGCGTTGTGACACATTGTGACGTTGGTGTTGTTGATGTTGTGCGTGGTTTGCAAGTTGAGGTAAGTTGTTGTAACCGTGTTGTCATGGTCACCGTCGCCGTCTGTTGTGACTGGTGTCACTGGTGTGATGCTGTGCTGCTGGGGGTCCGGGATATGACATTTATGATTCATGATTTCTGAGACAGTGACAGTGACCTTGACCTAGGTTACCGGTTACCTCACTGGTTACTGGCACTGGCTAGTGGTGACAGTCCGACAGTCCGACCCAGTCCACCAGTCCACCAATCCAACGGGGTCAGACTTCTGTCATTGGGCGGCTTTGGGAGTCAAATCAGCGTAGCCGAAAACAAACATGTGATTAAACACGTGTACCGTGTAACCTGTAACATGCATTGCATGGTGCATTGCCATGCCAGCCATGCTCGTTCATTCATGCACTGATGCATGAGTTCTGAGTTGTGGCCATGTGACCATGTGGCCATGTGACCATGACTGCATGATGCATGACTCCATGACTGTGACTCCATGACTCCATGACTCCATGACCATCTGACTATGTGCCGCCGTGACGGTGACGTGACGTGTGATGTGTGAGTGTGAGTCCCCGAGTCCACGAGGCCTGTGCAATGCGCACTGCCGGCGTCCATGCCGGATCCAACAGTATGCTTCCAGCTTCCACTGTTTGCACAGCATTCGGCATTTGGATCATAATCGTGGTCATGGGACCCATGGGAGCATGGATTGCTTTAAACCCATACCAGTGAGCCATTCAGCCATATGAGTCATATGAGTCATATGAGTCCACAACACTCAGTGACTCGCATTGCATTGCGTCTGACCATCTGACCGTCGGACCGTTTGACTGTCAGTCATGATCCATGAGTCTTTTGACATACCACAACTGCGACGTGTGTGTGGCGTGAGGACAGCCTGCCCGGCCCTGCCGCCGCGCCGCTGATCCCCGCCGCTATGCAGGGTGACGACTGCGACTGTGACAAACGGAAAAGACGGCTGTGATGGATACGGATGTCAATGTGAGTCAGTCATGAGTCATGTGACATGTGGCATGTGACGCGAGTCATGGTCTACGTAATGTGCTGTGACGTATAGTGACAAACTGGGCATGATTCACGTCTCGATCTGAGTCATAGTGCGAGCGACGTATTTGCAGCATCAACGTCCGTGGGAAATAAAATACCACTTTCCAAACCGCCGTTACTTGTCTTTCCGGGGACGTAGCCGTGTCGCGTCTAGTTACGTTTACGGTTTCGTAACTCTCTCGGCTCATGAGCCCGTGGCGACCCAGGAGCTCATCAACTATTTGCGGTTCGCTTCAAGTCACTGGTTCACTGGTTCACTTCATTTCTCCGCGATTCACTGGCGATTCACTGACGGCGTGTTTTCACGACGTCAAGTCAGATGTCAGATGCTGCCAGATGCTGCAATATTATAATTGCTGCGTCTTTGCTGCCATTGCCTACTCAGTCGTCAGTCGTCAGTGTCACGGCCTGTCCTGCCACAGCTGCCGCGGATTATGTTGTGATGTTATGTTACGTTACGTAGCAGCGGCCAGGTCACGTATTGCTGTGCAGTGCGACGTACATTGCTGACACGCGTCCTGTCGCGGCAGACTCTTCAGCTCGTGTTTTTTTGGTTCAGCTGTTCTCAGCTGTCTGGGACAGTGACAGAGACATTGTGTGACATCGGTAGGCCGGTAGGCTTGCAGCCTCAGCCTTAGCTTGAGACACATGGCCCACATGGCCGGGAGGTCGTCGGGTTCGGGCTTGCATCGCTCTGGCACGGGTGACATGAAAGCCGCATCAGCAGCAGCAGGGGGAGAAACCCGGGGAGAAGTTCAGAGCCAGCTGCCGGATGAGTTCAAGGATTTGAAGGGGCAGCTGCTTGTGGAAGCCGTGTTCTCCAAGTGGGGTTCCGGCACTAGCACTGTGCCGTGGCTCAATGAAGCAGGCGAGCGCAACATCCGTCCGGACGAGGTGAATCGCCCGATCATGGAGTCTCTGTGCGAGGCTTACGTGGATCGCATTCTTGAGTCTGGCCTCAACGTCGATTGTTCCGGACATGGTGGGTCGTGGGTCATGGTGGGTGGGTGGGACATCATTCGGTATTCGGGCATTTGAGCATTGATTGAGGCCAGGATTCTAACAGGAGGCACTGGGAGGGAAGTACCTAGTAGTACCTAGGCGGACACGTGACATGCGTCTTCGGAGACACCGGAGACACCTGACAGTGGACGTAACGTAAGGTAACCGTAACGTAAGGTCGTTGGGCCGCTTCTGTCCTGTTCGGGACAATTGTTTGCAGGACGGGCCTGGATGGTATATGGTCCGAGCCAATTTCCTGTGACTGCGATCACCTATGGTCACAGGTCCGAGGCAATGTATCGCGCCTTACAGCGCGAACCGGACAACCCCTATGTCAAGAAGGCACTCACAACAGGACTGGAGTCCGTTCGGATGCTCAGCAACAACGTGCCAATCGAAGTCAAGGCCGCACTGTGCCAGATGCACAACACATACCACGAAGGGGCTGGTGAGACCTGGCTCGCGTTGTTGGACCGTGCGGAGGATCTCATGAACGAGTGGGACCTGCGGAACAACGGACCCCACGGCACCGGCCTCACCACGAGGAACACCCAATATGATTCGTTCTTGGAGAAATTCATCTTCAAGGAAAAGAATGCGCAGGGATGGGGGGATTCCCTGAACTTCTTCAAGTCCACCACGATCTTGAACAACTATTTGAACAAATTCTTCATCAAGCACGACGTCCGTGATTGGTGCAATGCACACATGAGCTTCGGTGACCACAGTCTGAGCAACAGGTGGGTAGGTCAGGTAAGGTTACGACTGCAAGGTGCTGCAATGACTACAATGGGGATGCTGCACTCAGCTATTCAGGGACTCATGTCACTCATGTCATGTGTGACATTAATGACAGATTCATGGTGCCTGGTGCCTTGTAACATTGCACTGCGTTCACGGTTCCGCCGCTTCACGCGCTAATCATAAACTGCACATGTCACATGAGGCACATGAGTCAACATGTCCGCACGAGTGTCAGTGTGCCAGTCTCATGTGAGCATGATTGCTGCACATTTCATTTGATGTTTGATTGGGGCCAGCTAGAGCAGTGAGTGCTCGCCGTGTGTTTCCCCAGTGTTCGAGGGACGTTGGACTCGGACCACCGGGACCGCCTCGTTGAATCTGAGCTTGAGTCACTTGAACCTGGAAACTGTGATACATCAGCCTCCGTCTCAATCGGATTATCGTGTTCACAGCCACAGAGTCACAGAGCCGAGTCATTGTCACGGCCACAATCACATTCGCACGTCTGAGATAAGTCGGATAGTGGTCAGAGTCGGTCAGAGCGAGATGGTCGGACGGTCGGGTATTACATTGCATTACATTGCACGCACTGCACGCCACGTCAGGCAAACAGGTTGTCATGATGAGTCATGATGTCAGTCGTGAGTCATGCTGCTGCATTGTGCATTTTAGTAGTCTTTGGCACTATAAACTGGTACTAGTAATGAAGTAGTACAGTAATAGGCCGCTACTAAGTTAAGTCGACTAAGCCGTTACTAAGCCTTACTTACTAAGCGACTAAGCCTGCCTGTAAACCTAGGCGCGGATGTCAATGTCGAGTCGTATGTTTATGTTGTACAACTGTCCATGCCATGCCCAGTGCTCCTTGATTACGGCTCGTTTTTGCTACCGGGCTGCACTGCAGTGTTTCGTCCTTCGTCCTTGGTTGTTTCATAGTTTCGCAGCTTGGCAGCTTCACTGTGCTAACCTAACTACTAACTACCATTTACCATCACAGACCATCACCAATAAATTATTGTGTGAATCCACAGACTCGACAGATGAAAACGAACGACTTGCTGGATTCCTGATTCCTGCTGGAATTCATTGACTCATTGATCTTGGACTCGGGCTCAGTACGATGACGTACTGATTGATGTCAACGACTCTGATAACTGACAACTCAGATAACTCCGCAACTCCACATCGATATTACTGAGGCTGACGCACACAGAGGATGGTGATGGTGATGAGTCGGTGATGAGTGAGTCAGTCATGAGTCATGCGAGTCATGCGGCATTCCGTCCGTGCAACGTGTGTTACTAGTTACGTGATACATGCGGCGGATGATTATGATCCGGCGAGGTCAGTCAGTCGGCTGACTGACGGCTGACGGTTAGTCATTGTCATTACCTATTTGTCCGTTGGTCCGTTGGTGGAGTCCGGGACTGTCTGTCCGACTCCGATTGTCTCCGGTGACAGGGATCTCATCTTCATGCTGCACCAGATGGCCGTGACTATAGTGTCGTCAATGACGAAGTACTACACCAAGGAGTTCATCGGCGCCGCTCTGTTTGAGGCTGTGAAGTTTTGTGTTCCACGGCCGCATAGGTTTGCTGAGTCCGACCGAGTTGTCACTGTTGTCACTGGTCACATTAGTCAGTTACTTGCTGCCTACGGTACTACGACTACTCCTACTACTCTACCACTGTACTATTAATATTACTCGACTACTCAAACCGTCACATACTCTGCGACTCTGCGACTCTACGATGCTTAGTTAGTTGCATTGTATGTAACCGTTGCATTGCCGCTGCGGACATGTGATTCGTTTGTCAGGGTTGTGTCCGACGTGTCCGTTTAGGTGCCGACCCGTCATACGGGGGGTGCGCAACGCCTGCTCCCTCACGTCTTCACGAAGCCTGGCGCAGACACCGGCGCGATCATGAACTATGTGACGACTCCCATGGCAACGAGCGCCGTTTTCAGACGGCTTGAAGCTGAACAAGATGCGGCGGCCAAGGCGGCCAAGGCAGGTCGTGAGTCGCTGAGTCACATGCTTTTTGAATGTCTGTCATAATGCCTGTCAATGGTCCACGGTGCAAGCTGCAAGCAAGCATCAAGCAGTGTCACGGCGGTGATTGTTGAACATCGCAGGAAGAAGGAATTTCAGAGCAACCTGCCGCCGACAGTGCCAAGGGCAGTGCAAAGAAGAAAGCCAAATCGAAGGCCAAGGCCAAAGGCAAGGGTAAAGCAGATGCATCGACGGATGCCAATGCCAATGCAGGCAGTGCAGGCACGGTCCCGGGCCCGGGAGAGTGGAGCCCGCTTGCAATCCCTGCAGAGGGCTCCGAAGGCCACGCGGACATGAGCAGGCCAAAGACAGTGATGGACGACTTCATGACCATCATGTTGGAGTCCTTCGCAAGGGCAGAAAAGAAGTTGTCCCCTGGAGGCCGAACTTGCCAATCGGCCAATCGCACCGCACCGCACAAACCTAACGTAATTCGTAACTCGTTTTTGAGCTCTGAGTCCTTGAGTCCTCCGATGAATCCTTGAGGTATGCACAACATGTCAGAGAGGTTTGTCCAGATCTGGACCGAAGCCAAGATGAATGTTTTCCGTTACGCCGTCTCCTACTTCCTCGAGTTCACATGGACGGCAGTGGTTGCTATCAATGGAAAGTTCACCAGAGCTTACACAAGGTTCAGATCAGAGCTGGAAACCTTTGTCAACACGTCGTGCGAACTGGCTGTGACAGGTGTTACATCGGCTTCCAGCGGTGCAGCACCCTCTGCCACCTCTCACTTGCAGCTGGGTGCGAACTTCTCCGACTTGTTGGACGCAGGGTGGGCCACCGGCGGCAATGTCAAGGACGAGTCTGACGAGATGAAGACGCTAGAACGGATCAAGAACAGCATTGCCGCGGTGAAAGCTTCGGGTATGGTGACCTTCATCCAGGATGTGCTGCCACTTCCCCTCTCCTACCATGCGGGATTTGCGAAAGGCAGGCAGACCCTAGCCACGGACCCGAGCGTCAATGTTGATTGCTCGTTGCAGACGATAATCCAGAAGATCTTCGACGTCTTGCAGACCGTCCTGCCGCCAAGGTGGTTGTCGTTTGCCGCTGATGTTTGCGACATGTATGCAGAGCGTCTCGATTTTGTCGCCGCCAGTTCGGAGGCACCCGAATTTAGCTATTGACTCTGTTGGCTGTGTTGACTAGTCCTTGGTCCAAGGGTCCTTTAAGTCCTTTAAGCCTAGCAGCCTAGCCTAGCTGTGGTTTGAATACGTTTTGACTCGTTTTGACCGATAACCGCTAACTATAGGACTGGACCCGGACGTTGGGGCTTTTGGTCTTTGTGGAAGTGTTTAAGGAATTTAAAGGGTCACATGATCACGGCCGGGCTTACAAGCGTTTAGGCTTTAGGTTGTCAGTATGATCCGCAGGTATTCTGCGGCCAGAAGCAGGTGCTGGAGAGGTTCACATCGATGCGATCGTTATACACGCTTGCGCTGCTCCGTGACTTGAGCAGGCTGGATCTGGATAGGCTAGTTGACCTGAACCCGTTGTAAGTACCCTCCGTATAGGTCCTATAGACTCTAGACCCTGTCCGATCAGGATGCACAAAGTCAAGTTCGAGACTGACGTCAGCCTCCTGATTTCCGCCCTGCATGTGGACATGCAGAATGCAGTGGAGTGGGTTGCATCCAAGCGCAAGGAACCTGCGGCAGCATCGGCATCGCCGTTTGAGTCGTCTGAGTCGCCGCAGCGCTCAGAGTTACAGGGGTCACAGGAAGAAGATGCTAAGAAGAAGCCTCACCCAGTGGCTATGCTGATCCCGGGTTTCGATGTGCTCCAGAGCGGCTCGTCGATGGGTAACATAAGTTAACATAAGTCCGAGCGAGACCAGTCAAGAAACAGGAACAGTCCGTAACCCGTAACCGTAACAATCACCGACAATCGCCTAAGCCTAAGCCTAAACCACTGAACCACTAAACCGCATAGTTACCATACCATTTCCGATGCATCGACCGGCTGACCGATGCTGTTGCTCAAATGTCGAGTCATATTGTCGTCATTCTCAAGTTCTGAGGTCTCTCAGGCAGGTCAGAGACTGTCACAATGAACACGACACAGGACGCGTCACAGCGTGACAAGTATCACATGTCACTAGCATGGTAAATGGTAACGCAGCATAGCACTGGCATAGCACCACGACGACTCATGATGGTCATGAAGATTGTACTATTACTTTGCTACTACTGATACACTGATACACTGATACTACTACTACTACTACTACTACTACTACTACTAGTCACGGACCGTCACGGAAACATGGCGGTCATCACGGTCATGTCAATCATGTCTCATGAAAGGCATGAAAGGTCAGGTCGAACACCGTCACGTTGGACGTTGGACCCAGCATGTTTGACAATTGATGATGATTTTGGACGGGACGGCCCGTGTAATCGCCTGCATTGCTTGTACGTACCGAGAGATTGCCACCACGATTCCCGACGCGTCTGTCTCCTGTAGAAGCTTCATCTATTTATTATACTTGTAATCATATACAATCAATAAATTACATGATTCATTACTACATTACGCTCTCGTAAGTTCTCCCACCAGGCCACTAGACTCACTAGACTCCGGTTTCCTATCAACTATTGACTATTACTATTGTCTAGATTCCTAGATTCCTTGCTGCTTAGGTCCTGAGGTATGGGCTGCGAACTGGACGGCTCTGCTGAAAACAAAGTCAGTCACGGGCGCGTACAGCTTCCTCAAGACGTTCAGCGGCGGCTCTGCACCGGAAGTTTCGGTGCAACGTCAAGATCAGCAACTCAAGCGCAAGCGTACCGCCGACGACAAGGTCGAGGACGGAAAGGAAGTCGATGAGGACGGCGAGGAAGGGGCGACGGCGCCTGATGCAGCCGCGAAAGACCCAGCGACGACTTTGTCTTTGAGAGAGCTTCAGCTTTGCGGCATCGAGTCGATTTGTGATCATGAGCACTACAAAAAGTTGTTCGGCGACAGCCCGAATCGAGTGTCTTCCTTGGACGTGAAGATTTTGTCCACGCGGTTGGAGACTGCTGTATGGGACAGCCTTCCAGCTCTGGCGTTGGCTTGGGTTTGCGCGTTGTAGTGTCAGTCTGTCTCAGTCTCAGTCTGTCTCAGTCAGTCCTTGCCTTGTCAGTTCAGTTCGTCGTCAACATGCTGACATAACATACGGTCTACCCTCGCTGCCTATTGCAGCTTATTGCATGATGGTTGTGATTCATGATGGTGGTCCCCCCGTTTGGTCTCACTGGTTCGTGCTTGGTCACCGCCGTCACCGAAGTTCAGATTCTCTTTCAGTTACCAGGCTGTCAATTTGTCGTTTTGGAATCTGTTTTATCTGTTGTCCTTGTCCTGAGTCCTGATGTTGGCCTTTGACTTTTGCCCTTAGGCCCTTAGGCCCTTAGCCGTTAGCCTTCTCTGTTTTATTTCGGAGGTCTCGATGGTCTGGGTCTTGGCCGGTCTTGGCCTTGGGGCCTATGGGCCAGACTGTCTGTCAACTAGACTGGCAACCGACGGACCGACCGACAGTGTACAGTACATACAGACGCCACACTGGTGACTGGTGCCACAGCGGCACCGGTGCCGTGAGTCGTGAGTTGTAAATCGTCAATCGTATATCTTATGTGCTTGCTGCCAGCCGATTGCTAGCCACTGGCCACCGGTTATCAATGGTTGGCCGCATGATTAGCAATGGTTAGTTTACTGTCTGACTGCTAACATGATATTAAGAATTAAGAACTTGTGAACCTGTTAGCTGCTGATGTGAGGCTGATGTGCACAAGTCATCGTCATCAAGTCATCAAGTCATCAAGCTGAGTCACCAGGCACTGCTCGCGGCGATCGGCCTAATTCAAATTCAACTGTTGTCGTCATGTCACTATAATTCTCAGTCTCTCGCATTGCCATCATTACCACGAGGATTTATGATTTTGGCAGCGGCAGCAGCAATGCATGTTGCACTGTTGCATTTAATACATCATGCGATGCAATCGTTCATGTAGCAATTCATGTCTGTCATGGCATGATCATGTCATGCGTCATGCGTCAGTCATGCGTGCAGGGTCATGGAGTCATGGAGTCAGGCAGTTCAAGCAGCCAGTGACCAGTGACTCAGTGACGCTTCGACGTTATGCACTTTGTCACTTTGTCACTTTACCACTTTGTTATATCTGTGTGACTCATCCATAATCCGTGCCCACGTTTGTCAAGAGTGCGTCACGGTCACGTCTGTCGTGCAGCGTATGGCGTATGACTCCGTATGACAATGGCCCAATGGCCCAATGGCCACTGGCCGTGCGGTCATGGTAACCGAGTCATGGTAGGCTGGTAACCTGGCAGGCTGTTCGTTCACAGTGTTGATTGAATTGATTGAATCAAGCAGTGGAATCAGTGGAATGGACCGATCATGCAGTCAGTCGGAGCGTCTGTCGTGCAGTAGTTCAGTCGCAGGAGATACTCCGCAAAGAGATGGACGATGAGGCATCCCATTACGTTCATTGGAACTTCGGCAATCCGGATGACGAGGCAGCCGCATTGTCCACGGGCAACAAGAGCAAGATCAACAAGGTGTCCAAGGCAGTGGAGAAGGAACGCGTATGTTTCCATCATCTCAAAGAATTGTCCGAGTTCATTAAAGGTGGACACTCGTTGCGGATGGTGTTTGCCGGCCCTGTGTCCAATGTCATGACCGGTACTGCTATCCCGCTTGTATCCGTGTTTGGCATCCAGTTCTACGTCAATCCGGTTCCTCCGCCGTCCCCAGTCAACTTGGCGATTGTGCCTGCATGGATGGCTGGTACGACCAAGACCCCGACCGCCGCGACAGTGGTCGCGAGAAAAACATTTCATGACTACGTTCCCAGCTTAGTTTACCGTGACTGACTAGAAGTCAGTGTTGACTTCAGCTGTTGGCTGCTGTCACCCTTATGCCTTTATGTCTCTATGACTTTTATGACTGATCTGTATCTGTGCATTGGTGCATGAGTCAGTGCATGTGTTGACGGTAGACAACCAGGTGATCGACGAGAGTCTTCAGTTGTGGACGAAGAGCGAGTGGGACGAGAAGAGCGTGAACTTTCCGTCCATCGACATCAGCTTGAACATCAGATCGATGCTAGTCACAATGATGTTTGTGAAGGGTTGTCGTGCAGTGCACGACTACACGTCACTGTCACTCATGCCTGGACTAGACTCATGGACTTATGGGCCCGTGAGTCTCGTGAGTCCGTGAGTACATGAGTCCATGTTTGTGAAAGTCATGGTTTTGTCAAGTCTTGTCATGATTTCACTATTTCATGATTGTCATGACTGTCACATGCGTCGCCACATGCGTCCACATGCGCGCTGAGTGCCGCATGCTGCATGCTGCATGCTACTACATGCAGTTGTCAGTCGTCAGTCAAACAAACCTGTACTGGCCGCATCAAAGTCAAAGCCACGACACGACGCATGGAGGACATGAGGGCTCATGAGGACATGAACTTCATGTCACATGTCTGTTTTACATTTTACATGCTACGATAACTCTCTACAGTTTGAAATTTGCAATGTTACTAGGCGGCTCTGGGCCGCTGCACCATTGCACCGTGTTTCCGTATGAGTCTGAATCACCTGTTAGCCTGTTAGCCAGTTGTCGCAGCCAGGTTTTGAGCCGTGTCAGGCCGCGACAGTCAAACCCGCGTACTTGCAGGTTGGAGCCAGTCCTGACCCAGTTCGATGCCTACATCGCCAACGAGTGCCAGTCGATGCCAGCTCTCAAGTACGTGGCCAAAGGTGCGAAACCTTTCGACTTTGCCGAGGACTGCCAATTGATTCCATTGATGTGTTGATCCGTGTCCGTCTCACATGTTGCCGACTCCCGCCCGCGCGTATTTTAATATTGCAGTTGTAGCCGCAGCCGTAACCTCGGTCTTGCAGTCTTGCAGGACTTCTCAAAAATCGGCGATGACAAGATTGATATCGGATGGGGCGCTGCCATGGAGCAGCGCAAGACAGCAATGGAAATGAAGGGCCTTCAGACTCAGGTTGCTACGGACGCCAAGGACAAGAAAGCTGAAAAGGAGAAGCGCAGACAGCTTTCAGGTGCGAAGCACCTACTGAAGTGACTGAAGTAGGGCAAGTAGGGCCCGCCAGAGACAGGGGCCGTTAGGGCCGTTAGGCGTTAGGCTACTACTACTACGGCTACTAAACTGTTACTGCTACTACTACTACTACTACTACTACTCTAGAGACTCTAGAGTAGTGACTGACTTTTCGGCCTAACGACGGCGGACGGGCTGACGGCGCTTGAGTCACTTGAGCGCGGGGCTGTGATTCAATTAGCTTGAGTCTTAGCTTGAGATATGCCTCTCATTTTTTGGTTCCTCCTGTGTATGTAACAAGCAGGTCACGGTCTTCACAGTCCCACGTGCACGTTACACGTTCCTTGCAAAAAAAGCCAGAAAGCTGCTTCTTACTTGTGTGCCGTGCCTGGGAGCCGCTTCTGCTACTCAGAAACTCTACTACTACTACTACTACTACTGCTACTACTACTACTACTACTACTACTACTCCTCGGTGCGCTGGCTCAGCCACAAGTCGATCAGCGGGCTTTGTTACTGCAGCTGACCGCACGGACCGCACGGGCCAGAAAAAAATGCAAAGTCTGACACGTCATGATTGTGGAGCTCTGTAATCCCTACTGTTTTGGAAACGCCAGGATACTAGCCCGGTACTAACCATCGTGGATTGCCTTTTTTTTGTGCACATCACAAGACCCCAAGCCCCCATCATGAAATGTGCATGTGCATATGTGCAAGTTGGACTGCAACAAAACTATCGATGTTA